GCAAACTGGTTTAGCAGTCTAACACTTGTGGAGGGAACCGGTTCTTGTTTATAAAACAAAGACCATCTTAACTGCTAAAAATGGACTCTTTACAATTATAGTTATCCATCATTTCCTATAAAATTGGGATTTTATTTCAAAAACAAACTATCCCTCTCAGCTCTGGCCACTGAACTGATCAGCATGCTGAATGCTCCCCAAGTTCAGAGCTAATGTCACTGTGATAGACTTCCTCTGGGGACGAGCTGTCGTCTGTTTAATGTGGGACACACCAGCTTCCTTTAGGGGACTGACATTCTTTTGGTTTAGACTCTGCCTTACTGCAGGGACGACTTTGCCCTCAAGTCCCCCCGTCCCCCACGGATGAAAGTAAACACTACCAAGACATGATCTGCTTGGGGAGAAGAGGTGGCCAGTTTCTCAGAGGAAAAAGGCCTGGAGCCCCTTCCTCCAGGGGCTTTTATTGGGTTGTGATACACAGGAATACAGGGTGGCAAGGATCAAACAGTAGGTAACATTTCAAAGAAACCTGAGGGCTAAGTCTGAGTCAGTGTCTGTCAGGAACAGAGTTTTAGGGTTTCCTGCTCGAACCCTTAACATATGAATGAAAACACTCTTAGTAGCAGAGCAGATTTCACAGGTTTATCAGCAAGTCTTTGGGGTGCCAGATTTTTCCCCAGGACACGTTCTAGCCAGGCAGGGAGCTGCACCTCTCCCCATCAGGTATTCAGGCTTAAGGGCGTCAGAGCCAGGAAGCGCTTTTCCCAGAGAACATGGGGACTCGGGCTATGTCACATAACTTGGAGGGCAAGGGTCCCTTTACTCCCTTTTTGTCACAGCTCCCTGAATCCTTCCATGATGGCCTCCCAAGTGATCGTGTCTGGCTTAGGTTGCCCCTGTCTCTGTGAGGGGTCTTACCCGTCACTGACTTCTGACCGTGCTTTAGGGGCAGGGGGAGGAAACTGAGGCAGCGTTTGCTGCCAGAGATAAGCCTTTGTCTCCTGTGGCTCCCATTCCGGAGGTCACTCGCTCGTCCTTAGCCATGGAGGGTAGAGTTACAATTCCTGAAACCAGGCAGAGCGGCCACCAACACCTTACTCCCAAACCATCACTTCCATCACATGCCTCCTGAGGGCAGGGGACTGGAGACTTTGAGTCTGGGCAGGCTTTTCTTGGAGACAACCAGTCATTCTGATGGGTAACTGAGGTGGTCTTTAGTTGCTAGCTAGTGAGTGTACCATGCTTCCTAAAGTGATCGTCTTATAAATGGCACAGTCTAGTTTTTAAACTCCTAGTCTGTGGTTTTATTCTCCACAACAATTTGGAAGTCTTAAGAGTCTAGAGCAACCCAGATGCAGGGAGTAATAGATGGAGACTTTGGTAGTGCTTTTCGAACTTGAATGTGTCTGTGAAGCACCTGGGTTTTTTTGTTGGAAAGTGTAGATATTGAGTCATTGGGTCCAGGGTGGGGCCTGGGACTCTGAATTTCTAGCGAGCTCCTAGGTGATGATGCTGCTGCCTGATGCCAAGGACCCCTCCTTGAGTAGCAAGGGACAGGGTGGGCAGCAGGTGCACAGGGTAGATCCCCTGATGTTGTATTTTTGCCTCTGTTGCATCCACCAACATGAGAGACAAATTGTCAGAAACTTTCAGGATTCAGAAATGTTATTTTATTGGCCAAAGTTTTAGCCTGCGCAGGGGCAGACCCTCAGAGTGTCCGGAGACACGGTGCTCATAAGAGCTGCAAACGAGAGCCGCCCTAAACGCTTACAGCTACGTCTTTTTATAGACGCGAGCAAGCAAGCATTGTATAGAAGCAAACGTGGTTGTTAGCTACTGGCTACTCGGGTGGCGCGAGCATGACCTAAGCTTTCTGGGTTTTGAGTAATGGGAAAATTTTAACCTAGACACTTGAACAGGTGGTCCTCTACTTGTACAGCCCCATTGGTTTTGTAGTTTCACTCTCTCCACTCCCTATGTTCTTAACTTCCTTGTGGTTTCTGCTCTAAGTTCCTTGTTCCTCCAGGCCAAGCCTCTTTAAGGCAGTCCCTATTTTATTCCCTATTTTTCTGGTTTCAACACCTCCTTCCCCCTTTCCATTGCTCTCTGGGGTGATGAAGCTAAGATCCATCGTTTTGGGTGGGATCATAAACAGGGCCTGCTGTGTGACCGCTGAACTCCTCCTACCCCTCGTCATCCATCTGTGCTCCTCTTCTCCTTCCTGGCCGTGAGCAGTGTCCACACTCCTCAGTCAAAAGGGCAGGAAGGGACCTCACCCATTTCTTCATTCAGGGTGACCCGATACGCTTCCCATTCTTTGTAAGCCAGAGCTGGTGTACAGTTTTGACCTCTGCATTTTCCCGTGATGTCTTCCGAGACCATGACATTGTGAGACAATGGAGAGTCAGCCTGGAAAGCTCCCATTATGGTCATGTTGTCCGTGGAAGGTGAGGGTGCAGAGCTCCTAAGGAATATGGAGAAACTGGAGATGCTTGTGACCTTCAGGGAGAAGAGATGACCTCTCCATACCTGGCCTGGGTGGGGAGACTGGTCCTTAGAGCCAAAATTCAGCAAACTCCAGGAAGGTTATCTGAAATGTCTGTGTAGGAAAACATTAGGGTTTATCATTTCCTGAGCCTCTTCATGTTCTAATTTGTGACTTGTAGCCCTGTGTCCTCATGGAGGGGCTGAGTGTCCCCTCAGAGGGGCTCACTCACTTCTTTCTGCAGCGACCCAATGTTAGGTCTTATTCCCGTGCAGGGACCCGCTTCCCAGCTGCCGCAGTAGGGTATGGCTTCAGCCGGCCACTTTCTTCTATTTCTGGTCCATTGCGATGCTTACCTTGTTTTTGAGCCCAGTTGTTTCTTCTTGGCGTCTTTCTCTTTTTAAATCTATCACTGGTATGTACAATGGGAGAATTTCCTATGTCACTGCACCGGAAGTGTGAGGTTCTGAAAGCGGGTATTCTATACTGCTATTTCAAATTTATCTATTGATTTTAAAGAGAGTGGGAGAGAGAGACACACTGATTTGTTGTTCCACTTACTGATGTGTGCGTTGGTTGCTTTTTGTATGTGCCCTGACCGAATGACAAACTCACCTTGGCTTTTTGGGATGATGCTCTAATGAACTGAACTATCTGCCCAGGGCCTTGTAGTGCTGTTTTTAGAGCAGGTGAATAAAGGACCAGCGCACTTTAAAAACCTGTCCTTGGATGAAATAAGACTTGGGAGTGGCATACTGGGTTGCTTTGACTGTATTTTACTACCCACTCACAGCAGGAATGTCAGAGTCATTCTTACTGGGGGCTACCTCAGCCTTGTGGTTGCCTTCAAAGGGCCAAATGTCATTTTAGGACTGTGTAAATGTAACCACTCCTTAACTAGGGGGAGGAGCTCAGCGCTGCTGCTGGGTGGAAACAAGGTGCTAGAACAGACAAAGCAAGGTAGACCACCAGATTTGGCCTGCGGGCCTTGTGTTTGCTACCTCGACTTACAGCAAAGGCCAGAACAAGAAGCGATGCAGGGACAACCGTGGCTGTGCTTCAGAGTCCTGAGGAAACGGTCCTTCACTTACGGTGGATTTGCTTCACCTCTGGTGATCCTGCGAGTGAGTGACGTCCAGTGTCCTGTTCTCGGTGCTTCTTTACATACTGCCTCTGAAAACAGTGAGGCTCCGTGGGAGATCTCGTCCACCCGTGCCAGGGATAATTATGCTTCTTAGAGGACAAGAACACTGACCCTTAGCTGGTATTTTTCCACTGGCTTTAGGATGCTCACAGTCAAAGTGGCGATTCACACATACAGGAACACCAGGTAGCTTTTTACTCCTGATCTGTCTTCAACTCATTTCCTGCCCTTACTTTAAACTGTACAGACTCCAGAAGAAATACTGGATTGGCCACAAAGTCCATATGGTTTTCTCCCATAAAAGAGATATTTTGCACTTTCACCAATAACTTCCTGATTTGGAGATTTTGAGTAAGTGTGGTAGAACTTACTCAAAAGCTTTCTTATGTGTGGTAGAACATTGATTATTCTTAATTAATGTCTCAATTTGATTGCTATCAACTTTATTTCTTAATTAATTATTTTTTAAGTCAATGTGGTTGCCTCTCACATGCCCCCTACTGGGGACCTGGTCTGCAACCCAGGTATGTGCCCTGACTGGGAATTGAACAGGAGACCCTTTGGTTCACAGCCAGTGCTCAATCCACTGCGCTATACCAGCCAGGGCTGATTGTTATCAACTTTAACTGGTCTACCTGACTGTGGAGCAACATCCAGTGAGAAATCTCCACCACGAAACTTCACAAACCACTTTTGACCCTTTTGATCAGTCACAGCACCTTCTCCATACACTGCACCAATCTTTTTTTGCGTTTCAGTTACCTTTCTTGAAATAATAAAGAATACGTGGAAAATGTGTATTTTCCTACATGTTCACTATTAAAACGGCTATGCAAAAATTCCCCAATTTTGGTAAGTTTTCTAATGCACACTGATATGACAGCTGTCATAATACAATCTAACAAAACTGTTTTTTAGAATGAAGAGAACTAAGCGCTACTAGAGCCACCTTACAGAAAAACCCAAAGGAACTTTCTGGCCAACCCAATATTTTATTGCATTGTATGAATTTATGTAAGGCCTCACCTTCTTTCCCAACTGGACAGGGTGGAGGCTGCCAGCACACTTCGGTTCTCCCTGTATGGCGCTGGCTAATTCATGTTACAAACATGCACAACCCCTTCCTCAATCAGCCTCCCACCCGTCCAGGAAGGGAGGCCGGACTCTGGCTTCAACAGGCCGGGCAGCCGTTGGGCCTACACCCCTGGTGCTCAATCTATTCATCATCCTGCTCCATGGCCTTCCACCGCTCCCGTCACAACATACCGCCCCCAGCAGCACAGCCTGCTTTCCTCCTCCCCATCACACCCCACTTCCCCGCATGGCCTCTCCCTCGCGGCTCCGCCCCTTCCGGCCGGCGGGAGTGGAGGGGAGGGGCGGGCCCGCCAGGGAGCGCGAGCGTCCCGGGCCAGCGCCCCGCGGCGGCCGGCTGGCCATGCTCATCACGCTCTGCTACCTGTACCTGTGGGCGCGCTGGGGGCGCCGGCCGGCCGCGCTCGTGCGCACTACAGTGCGGCGGCTGCTCGCCACGCGCTGCTCCTTCACGTTCTGCGGCGCGGCCGCGCAGCCCCGGGACGCCCGCGTGTGTCTGAGCTTCGGCGGCCGCGTCTTCTGTGTCAGTGAGAGCCAGGTGGGCGGCAGCGGTGGAGGTGGGGGGCGGAGCCTGCAGGGGGCGGGGCGGCAGGGCGGGGGTCGCGGCCTCCGGGGTCCCTCACCCTGCGAGCCAATCCGGAAGCGCCGGTCCTCCTGGGGCGGTGCCGAGCAGCACCTTCGTGCCGGCGCGGGGCTACGGGCTGGGGTCCTTCTGTACGCGATGCCCAGGGGAACGCGGATTAGGGGACCAGAGATGCGAAACCGAAAGGCGGCGCGCTCGCCTCCCAGTGGCGCGTGAGGTTGAGTGTAAGGACGCCAGGCCCTTGGCGTTACAAAATAGGCGTGTACCCCTGTGACCGTGCCGTGGCCCTTAGCTCTGAACCCCAAGAGAGCACTGCCCGCTTAGTCCGCCCTTCTCTCCTCTCTGGGCTGGAGTTTGGCCGAACCTGTATTTAGAGAAGGGCAGCAGATCCCCAGCTCTCAGTCAGATATCTCCGATGGGACGCAAACTGCCGGTCTTCCTGCCCTTCTGTGAGTTGCATCATTTGCTGGCCAGGACACTCCACCGATTGTCTTTCCATGTTTCATTTTGGTTTGCACAGTCTTTGGTTTTTGGCCCAGGGCTTAGCCTGGTGACAGTTCAATAGGCGCTGTGGTTTAATCTCTGCAAAAAACCTCTGCGCTCTGTAAAAGGAACTGTAGTTCTTTCCGTTCTTTCCATTGGCAAAGCACTTGATTCACAGTGCGGTTCTGCGCAAATTTCCCTGCAGGTCACTGACGTTTTCATTAACATTTCCAAGTGTTTCGCTTTTCATCAGTTTCTTGCCCTTGCCTTCTGGAAAGTTGACTCATTTTTAGCATTAAAATGAGAGTTTGTATGTGTGCATCCTAACACCAGGTGGGAATTAAAATCTTAGGTTTGAATACTTTTTTGAGGTTATGCTTAGGTATGGGATTATACTGGGCTGCTAGCAAATCAAAACTATCCTCCTCTTTAGTCTAACACAAAGAATATAAGTAACTCTCTCAGATCTAAGAGAGCGCCTGTCTGGCACCACCCAGATGCAAGGGGGTGAAATTCATTTATTATATACAGTGGATGCCTTAGGGAGAGAGAGCCTAATTCTCTCAAGGAACCCTGGTTGGGAAAGATAATAACGTGAGGGCACATGGAGGGGTGGATTTTTCTATTGTACAGCTTTCCAAACTGAATCATTTACTTTAAAAAAATGGTAAGGATTAGAGTGGAAATTTTGAACTTTCAAAAATATTGAGAGGTAAATGTCTTTACTCTTGTTGGAAGACAGTTTCACTTTGGAACAGCTGCATGACTTTATTGGTCTTCTACTAACTTCAGCAACTAACTAATGCTGTTCAGCCCTTGCCCACTGCTCAAGCCAAACCTGCCTTGGGCTTTCAAGGGATTCTGTGACTTACTGTGTCCCAGCTCTTGACGTAGTTAACCAGACCCCAGAACTTTGCTCAGATATCACTGCCTCACCCACCCAGACTGGATGGGACTGGTCCGCTTGTGTCCTCAGAGTTTAAATCACAGTTCATCTTTCCAGCTTTTATTTTTTTCTTCCTAAGGTCTGGGTCAGTTTAGCTCTCCCCCTTGACTTGTAACATCACTCAGTAGTCCAGTGAATGAAGGTGTGTTTAGTGGTTGTTGGGTTTAAGCCCTGATGTTTAAGGCCTACAAACTGGAAAGCCTGACAATTTATTTGTGATTAGCTACTGATATCTTCCCCCAAGGATATGCTTATTGATTTTAGAGAGAGGGGAGAGGGTGGAGAGAGAGAGGGAAAGAAACGTTGATCAGTTGCCTTTATGGGCTTGCACCAGGGACCAAACCCACAACCCAGGCTTGTGGAATTGAACTCACGACCTTTCAGCTTACAGGACAATGCTCCAATCAACTGAACTACACTGGCGGGGGGCTAGCTACTGTTATTTTAGGATTTAAAATAACCTGGGGCTGATGATTTGGTTCAGTGGATGCCTTGTTGTCAGTCTGCCTGGACTGAAATAACTGTAGAACTGAATCTTATGCTTTTGTTGCCTGTGTATTTTACATATTCAGAACTAGATGCATGCAGGCGGAATGTGTGTAATTGAAGGTCCCATGAGAATTGATAAGTATAATCAAAGATAGTTTATACAGACTGGGAAGTTTCAGGTTTTTGTTTAATGTGCACATTTCCTATGTTGGAGTAAAGTGGACAGTCTTTTTTTTTAAGATTTTATTTATTTTTAGAGAGAGGGGAAGGGAGGGAGAAAGAGAGGGAGAGAAACATCAGTGTGTAGTTGCCTTTCACATGCCCCCTCCTGGAGACCTGGCCCGCAACCCAGGCATGTGCCCTAACTGGGAATCGAACCGGTGACCCTTTGGTTGTCAGGTCAGTGCTCAATCCACTGAGCCACACCAGCCAGGGCTGTTTTTTGTGTTTAATTCTTATTTTGATCATTATATTTACTCACACAGAGGAGTTTCTTTCGCCTCCACATTTTTATTCTTTTCTTAGTTCAACAGGTAGTAAGCGTGTACTATGCGCCAGGTTGCTAGGCCTGGGGGAAGCACCCCCTGATCTTCCCAGCAAGGGCCGGACTGATCTGCAGCGCTGGGGAGCCGACCCGAATGCCTTTCCTTTTTTTTTTGGTGGTCATGCTAAGGCTTGCCCCCTGCGGCCTTAGATTTCAGCTTTTTCTGCTCTGGTTCTGTTCTGGGTGTGTCTTGCTTTTCATGGGTAGAAGCCTTAAAAATGATTTGCTGTCTTTTTAGAGAGATTTCAGGAAGGCGAGCAGAGATGAATGGATTTATCAGTCTTGGAGGAAATGGAAAATCAGCTCTTCCGGCTTCTGTCAGTAACAGTTTTCTGTCGACTGGGATGTGTGTGTCCCTCTAAGTTGTCAGTTGGGAAGCTCCTACATGCTCTAATGCAGACAGTAAGGAACGGCAGGAATAAGCCCAGCTTCAGATTTGATTGCTTGATAACAAATATCTGGAGATGCTAAAGTTGTCATGAATCATAGAGGGCAGTTTTTTCCGGCTGTTTGGATAGTCATAGTTCAACAAGAAACAAGAAACACAGGGCGACTGTGGCGTATGGGAGGGAACCAGAAAACCTTATTTGGATCCCACCCAGAATTACAGAGGAGGGATGCCCCGGATGTTGAGGTAAGTGGCAGTTGTGGTTTGAAGTGATATCCTTTTTGTGTGTGTTTTTCTTTCTCTCTATCCAGCCCATCGATGACTTGAACAAATGGGCCCTGTTCCTTGTCTCTCCTCTTATACTTGAAGCCGAACACATAGCATTTGTGACAGAGAGCACTTGGGTGCAAGGTGACAATTCACAGAGACCGTCTTCTTCAGACCCTGTGAGTAACACGATTTTCACTTGTGTATTGTAAGGAAACGGTGTGCCTTAATGAGAACTAAATTTGTTTTTTTTTATGAGTGCTTTTTCCTGGCCTTTGAGACTCTCTTTCTTTTTGGATATTTTGGGTTAAATTAAAATATGTCAGTGAAGTTACTTTGACCTGTTTTCCTTTCTGAATGTGGCACCGTGTGGCTGGTGTCCGTGGTCCACACTGCTATCATCGGGCAGCGCGGCTCCGGTCCCCCGGCTCATTCATTCCGTCCCTACCTTAAACAAAGCCGCTGAGGCTGAAAGGTGTCCTGGAGAAATGGGTCGATTGCACCTCAGGGAAGTAGAAGAAGGACCAGGTCCTAGGACGCGCAGCCTAACCCACCAGCATCCAGGCTGGATGGAGGCCGCCAACACGCCCACTGCCCTGGAGCTGCCGGGGCTCTTTTATCTCATGGGTTTGGGGGAAGCACCGTAAGTCATTGGGAAAGAGTTTACATTGGCTGCCGGTAAGGAAGGGGAAAGGTGGAGGAGCAGTTCCAGGACAGGTACTTCCCACTGCGGTCGCTTGTGGCGGCAACAGCCCGGAAAGTCCACGCAAAAGCAGGACGAGGTGGTGTCTGGTAGCTGGCATTTTTTAAATATATATATATTTTCGTCCTCACCTGAGAATATTTTTTAGTATTGATTTTAGAGAGAGAGAGGAAGGAAGAGAGAAACAGAGAGGGAGAGAAACATTGATGTGAAAGAGAAACATTGGTTGATTGGTTGCCTCCTTCCTGTACATGCCCTGACCGAGGATTGAACTTGCAACCTTGTGGGGCATAGGCTGGTGCTCCAACCAATGGAGCCAGCTGACCTGGGCTTTTCTTTTCTTTCTTTTTAAGTTTATTTTATAGACATTTTGGAGTTTTTCAAAAAAGATTTTATTTATTTATTTATTTTTTATAATAAATTTTATTTAGTTACTTTTCAAGTACATTTTTTAATCTATTTCTCCCACCCCCCCCCACCCTGTCTCCCCCCTCCCTCCAATTTCCCCTCCCCCAGTCCTCGTCCCTGTGTCTTTCATACTTGTTCCTCAAAATCCCTCCTCCTTTTTCCCCCTTAAATTCCCTTCCCTCTCCCCTCTGGTCGCTGCCCACTTGTTCTCTATTTCAGTGTCTTTGTTTTTATTCTGTTTGCTTGTTTGTTTTATTCTTTAGCTTCCTGTCAAAGGTGAGATCATATGGTATTTGTCCTTCAATGCCTGACCTATTTCACTCAGCATAATGCTTTCCAGTTCCATCCATGTTGTTGCAAAGGGTAGTAGCTCCTTCTTTCTCTCTGCTGCATAGAATTTATCTTTAGAGGGGAAGGGATGGAGAGAGGGAGAGAAATATCAACGTATTGTTGCCTCTTGTGTGTCCCCTGCTGGGAACTGGCCTGCAACCCAGGCATGTGCCCTGACTGGGAATCAAACCGCAATTGTGTGGTTCACAGGCCCGCGCTCAATACACTGAGCTACACCAGCCAGGGCTCTTTTTTTTTTTTTTGATAGCTGCCTGGAAGTTGATTCAAAGTTTTTTTTTTCCTTTTAATTTAATTTATTTATTTTTAGAGAGAGGAGAAGGGAGGGAGAGAAACATCAGTGTGTGGTTGCCTCTCGCGTGCCCTCTACTGGTGACCTGGCCTGCAACCCAGGCATGTGCCCTGACTGGGAGTTGAACTGGCAACTCTTTGGTTTGCAGGCCCGTGCTCAATCCACTGAGCCATACCAGCCACGGCAAATCAAAGTTTTCTGAAAAGAGTTTTTGTTGAATTTATTGGGGTGACATTGGTGAATAAAATTATGTGGGTTTCAGGAGTACAATTCTATAATATCATCTGAATATTGTACTGTGTGTTCACCACCCAAGGTCAAGTCTCCTTCCATCACAGGTTATCCCCCCTTTATCCTCTTCTCCTTCCTCTCAACCCCTCTTTTCTCTGGTAATCACTATGCTATTGTCTGTATTTATGAGTTTTGTTTTTGTTTTTTTCTTAATTTCTTCACCTTTTTTACCCAGTCCCCCAACCCTCCTTCCCTCTGACAGCTACCAGTCTATTCTCTATGAGTCTGTTTTTATTTTGTTTGTTAGTTTATTTTGTTCATTAGACTCCACATATCAGTGAGATTGTATGGTATTTGTCTTTCTTTGACTGTCTTATTTCACTTGGCATAATACTCTCCAGGTCCATCCATGCTTTTGCAAAAGGTAAGATTTCCTTTTTTATGGCTGAGTAGTATTCCACTGTGTAAATGCACCACAACTTTTTATCCACACATCTACTCACGGGCACTGTGTCTGCTTCCCCCGCCACTACCACGGCAGTCACCCTCATTCCCATGCCAGCCCCCAGAATGGGGTTGCAGCCCAGGTGGGCAGCAGCCAGCTTCTTCTTTAAAATTGAGAACCAGCCCTGGGCCGTGTGGTCCAGTGAGTTGGGCGCTGTCCCGAAGAACGAGAGGTCACTGGTTGGATTCCCCATCAGGGCACATGCCTAGGTTGTGGGTTTGATCCTCGGTCAGGGCATGTATGAAAGGCAGTTGATTGGTGTTTCTTACATTGATGTTTCTCTCCCCTTTTTTCTCCTCCTTCCCTTCCCCTCTCTCTAAAGGAAAAAAATTAAAATTGAGATCCAGAAGTTTCAAACTTCACTTGTCCTCTCATCACTTCCGCTGCAGGGAAGACTGAGAAATACACCCGTAACTGCACCGCCGTGGGTTCAGAGAAAACCGGGAGCTGTGTTACTACGAGGGAGGAACACGGGCTAGATATGGGGAGACGGCCAGCTTCTCTTCCAGTCATCCCGTTTAACCTACCTTTGGCATAAGGTTTCATTAAGATCTTGCTAATGGCGGTTGCGTAATTCTTAATTTTCTGGGGGTCTAAAGACGCCTGTCCACCAAGGGTTCTCCGTCCAGTTAGGTCATTCTGCCTGTGACCCAGAGTTGGTGCGTCTTGCAGCCAGAGGCTGGAGAAGGCCAGAGCTGTTTTCTGCCCGCCCTGGCTGTCACACCGAGCTCCGGTGGGTGAGGTGGGCTTCGGGACTGGAAAGGAGTTGACATCGCAGCTCACTGTCTTCTCATGGAGTCTGCAGTCCATTGGGGGTGACTGCTTGATGGGATTTTGCCTTTTGGGGCCCTCTTACGAATCTGTGTGTGTTTTTCACCTGACTGTAAAGTCATTTGAATTTGACAGGATCCTAAGATGTTCAGTAGAAAATGTCTTAGGTAAGCGAGACTGTTCATGAGATCTGACATTCTTTCACATTTTTGGGACTACACAACTCTCACAGATAAGTATCTTTTTGAACTTGGGACATCTCAGATGGCTTTCGTTTGTGCCGTGTGGCCCTGGGCGTCCCTCGTGGACACGGACAGGCGTTAAGGCGAGGGAGCAGATGCTGTGCTGCCCCTGAAGTCAATGCAGCTTCAGTCATTGGTTATAGAGACCCTCCTGCCCCGTTTCTGGGGGAAATCCCTCTGTTCAGGGCTGCCCAGGGCTTCCTTGGCTTTGATCTTTGGGATCAGCCTTTTGCTTGACTTCCCCTTTGTTTCTCCATCTCGAAGTGCATATTGAAGGGGCCCTGTTTGCTTTTAGCCCCCAGAAGGCAGACACCCCTGGACCCTGGAGGAGATGGGTGACGGTGCAGCTTTGCTTTGATCAGGGCGCCCAGCGCCGCTAGAAGTCTGCACGGTCTGTGCCCCTGGACTGCGTTCCTAGGAAAAGGAAATGCACTTCAGAGAGGAAGCGGCTGACGGAGCCGGGAAACTTGATCAGGGCCGTGTGTACATTGTTCTCCGGCTGCTTCCTGTCCCTCCCTGGCGTTATCTCCCCCTCCTGTGCCCCTTCAGAGGTGTGTGAGAAGTTAACGATCGGCTCCTCTTACACTAAGTGCTGACCTGGGGATGGGGGGGTGGTGCCGCATGGCCAGTGCTTGCCCCAGCCCCCAGCCGGGTGCTAAATCAAGGTCTGAACACCCAAGGGCGGGGCTGGCTGTCCCGGGCTGAGCCTTCCTCCTCTTCGATAGCCATTGACAGGGCTGAGAACAAAGATGCTTTTAGCTTCACACAGGAGGTTGCCCTGTGCCTTTCATGTTTCCCATTCACCCTCGGCCGAGCAGTCAGCTCTTGCCAAGGTGAGAGTTTATCTTCTCATCCTCTTGGGCAGACATCCTTTCTCTATTCTCAAAGCTGGGCTTCACCTAGTATTTGTCTGAATTGTAAGCTTCACCTCTCATTTGATCGAAGGCGCCCTCTTTGAAACGCAGAGTTTGACTAAAACCTAGGTCAGGGGTCCCCCGGAGGAATCTCACTCCCTGGGGCCTGGGTGTGTGGGAGCAGGTGGGGGGAGCAGGAGACCCCCCACCCCCCCAAGGCTGTAGGTGGAGCCAAAGGGAAGCGGGGAGGCTTCTCTTCCTCCTGTGCCAGGCTGATGAATGGGTTTCAGCCTTTTGACCACAAAGACTTGCCTTTATTATGTTTCCCTCTCAGACAGTGTTTATCAACTCTTAAAATTACTGTTTCCTTTAAGAGAAAAATTAAGTTCAATTGAATGCTCTCTGAGCAATGAAACACTGCGGACTAAGATTTTGTGGGATGCGGTTGAGTGTTGGAGGGCCATCGTGATCTCGATGGTTTTTTTCCATACTGCATTCTGCCAACCCAAGTGGGGGTGATACGGTCTTGCTGTGAATACTTGCTCTGAGGACTCCATGTTTTGGCATAAGAGCGCCCCCTTAGGGCCAAGTGCTTTATGTGTTACTCCTTTAGCTCCTCCGCATCCTTCCCAGGTAGGTGCTCTTATCATGAGCACTTTATGGACAGGAAAGCAAAGTGCAGAGAGCCAACTGACTTGCCCAGGTCTCCGTCACCCGAGCTGTGTGTTATCAGCCAGAGGAGCCAGGATTAACTCTGGGGAGTCAGACTCTGGAGTCCTGTGACGACCAGGCTCTCCCGGATCAGTGGGGAAACAGCAAACTGCCTCAACTTTCCTTTTCTTTTTAAAATTGGCGTGTAATTCACACACCATGACATCATTCTTTCCGAGTGTGCACTGACGGTTCAGCAGGTGTGCAGTCATTACCGCTAATTCCAGGACGTTTTCATCAGCCCAAAGAGAAACTATGCACATGTCAGCGTTGAATGTTCTGGGTACGTCATATGAATACAGTCATGTCACGCGTGAGCTGTGGTTATTGGCTTCCTTCACGTAACGTATTCAGGATTTGTCTGCACTGCGGCAGGTATCGGTATTCCTTTCCTGGCTGAGTCCATGGTGTGACTGAACACATTTTATGTCTCCATTCATCTGCTGACGGACATTTGGGTTGTTTCTGCTCTTTGGCTTCTCTGACTGGCTCTGCTGTGAATCTTTGCATACGAGTCTTGTGTGCAGACACATGTTTTTGGTTCTCCTAGGTATATGCCTGGAGTAGGATTGCTGGGTCATTCGTAACTTTATATTTTCCCTTTTTCCCCAACTTTAAAAACATTGATTTTAGAGAGAGAGAGAGATAGGGAGGGAGAGAGAGAGAGACAAACTTCGATTTATTGGTGCATTGGGATGACACTCCAACCAATTGAGCTACCCTGCCGGGGCTCTGTGTTTAACTTTTGGAGGAACTGTCAAATGCTTTCCCGGAAACCTGTACCGTTTTACATTTCTTCCAGCCATGTATCTGGATTCGGGTTTTTTGACACCATCTACAACACTTGTTTTTGTCTTTTTGATGATAACCACCTGAGAAGTGATGGATTTCATTGTAGTTCTGATTTGACTGACTTTCTCCTGGGGGACAGGATACTCTTCCTATACCTCATTATCTTTATAGGCCTCATTTATACACCTTTATATATATGTCATTAACGCAACAAACCTGTGAGATGGTGGGCACTAATATTATCATTTTTGCAGTTTTACGAGGGAGAAAGCTGAGGCCTGAGAGGCTCTGAGACTTGCCTGGGTACTGGGAGCACACGGCGACGATTAGCTGAGTTTGACCCAGACCCAGGTCCTCAGACTGTTACCGAACAAGAGGTCCAAGGGATGGGGGGGCAATACAATATTTGGCCCACCCAGGGATGCCAAATATTGCTACACAACAGGGGCCCCTCCCAAGGACAGAATACTAAAATCTACTGGGCTCTTCTGTCCGCCGCCAATTGGAAAGACATCTCTCAATGCCAGAGATTTGTGAAAAGGAAACAAAATGTTTATTTAATGCTATTCAGGCCTAACGCCTCCACTAAAATATCAAAGTCCTTTAGGGCATACACCTACACCCACACAGCGCTCCCTTCTCCCACTGTCCCAACTCCGGGTACCGTAAATCAGGAGAAGAGCACACGTCCCTTTTTCAGGCCCCTGGCACCGTCAGCTGTGTCAGGCAGGATCTCTAGTTAATCCAAAGTCATGTGGCACCTTCTCATGGTCCACTGGCAAGAGTTCTTTCTACCCAGTTCCAGTCAAAGTCTCTCCTGCTTTCCAGGCCACGCGGCCAAAGGGGGCACCCCAAAGCCGCGTGGGCCTCTTCTACCAAAGCTGCAGGGGTCTGCACTCCACCAAAAGCATGTGGCTTTCTTCTTCATCTGGCCAAGCGGGGACCCTTCATGTCCTGGAGCCAGTCTTTTCCAAGCTCCCACACAGGCCCTCTCACTCAGGAGCGCAGCCCCTAGTTACATCCTAGGTCCCTGCCACTCTCTTCTCCCTGGCTCAAAACTTGGCCACAGCTATTTAATATATCTATGAAGCCAGTTAAAGGTTATAGATATGTTAAATAATCATTTCAGAGGTTAGCTGTGAAACTGTTGCTATGCAAAACAGCTCTCAATGGCCCTGCTCCATTCGTCCCTTCCCCCTGGGGGGGCGGTGAGGACATCTTATATGTCTCTCCAATATTCCTATACACTTTGAATTCTGGACACCATACCAAATCCTTTTTTTGGCGCCCCCCCCTTGGCTGCACCCTGTATCAAGACTGCAGAGCCAGGCTCTGGACCCCAGGGTGCCCCCCTTCTCCTTGTCCCAGTTTCTCTCGTGTTTAAAACTTCCCATTCATTCCTGGGCCCCAACTGTGGAGTCTGAAGCTGCAGACAGTCACGCTCAGGAACCAGAAGCTTTCCTGTGCTCCTGGAAATAATAATATTATATTCCAAAACTTAAGTTTTGGAATATAATATTCCAAAACTTACTATTATAAATAATACTGTGAGGATATTGCCAATAATAACAGCTACAGTTTATTGAATACTTCCTTCTCCCAGACCCTTTCTATTTATGGTGTCATTCTTTTTTTTTTTAAGATTTAATTTATTTATCTTTAGAGGGGAAGGGAAGGAGAGAGGGAGAGAAATATCAGTGTATGGATGCCTCTCGTGGGTCCCCTGCTGGAAACTGGCCTGCAACCCAGGCATGTGCTGTCACCGGGAATTGAACCATGATCCTCTGGTTCACAGGCCTGTGCTCAACCCACTGAGCTACACCAGCCAGGGCTCCTGGGGAGCTCTGTTGCGGTGGGTGTGCTCCACACTCGAGAAAAGCCGGTCCCTGGGTTCCATTAGGGACCATCGGATATTGTGCACTTGTGTTTACTTCTATTTCTCTTACTGAAGGGCAAGTTTATGTTTTAGCGGGGTCTGGGGAGTGGCCCTTTCCTCCTTTAGTTTCTTGCAAAGCAGCTGAGGCCCCATTTACTTTGAAAGGAGAGGCTTATACTCAGTGCTTCGTAAGCCCTGCTGTTGGGCAGAAGCGAGAGCGACTTAGAACCACGTTGGTGGTGATAATGTAGTGGGGGGAGGGAGGCGAAGGGAAAGTGAAGTACGGTGCCTGTTATTTTAAAGAAGAACATCTCAACCTCTCTTTTTCTCTCTCCTCCCTAATTCATTTTTTCTCAGATTGTGAAGTGGGCAGACTGTTGTTTGCCGTTAGCTTGCAGACCTGGGGACCCTTATCAGTTGATTGCCAGAGCAAGTGTGGATGACTTCAGCAGGCTGGGGGTGGCGTTCATGGAAGACCGACTCCAGATGGCTAATGGACTGATACCCCAAAAGATTGTTTGTGAGTGACTGTAGATGTTTTCCTCATAGCAGGTGCCGTAGATTATTAGCTTAAGGACTCTTTTTTTTTTCTTTCCACCCCTCTAGCTTAAGGACTCTTGAACACACCTATTTGGTATGACTTAGGCGAGTGCTTAGTTTCAGTTTAATTCAGTCAACAACAACTCAGATTTCCATACTAGTATAAAATTCATACATTTGTCAGTTTTTTGAGGTGTTTAACCCCGAGTATATCATTGGTGCTTTTAAGATTATTAAACGAGGATACCCAGAGTTGCATTGTCTTCGAGCTAGCATGCAAATTCAGAACCCATGTAACTTCTCCCGATCTGATACGGTATAACTAGTTTCCAGACTATAGTTTGATTGAATGGCAGGCATGGTCAGTGTTACTCGGAGGTCTAAGCCTTAGCAGGTTTTTTTTACCTGAAATATACATACCACAATATTTTGGGGCACATCTTTTTTTTTTGGAAATGCACAAAGTATTCTTCCTTAATTAAGCTTTGAAGCTGGCCTTTGACATCCACCAAAGTCCTGCAGGTGCACCACTAAAGCACAAGCAGTGAGCAAATGAGTGTCACTTACCAACTTGGAAATTTGTGTGAATCACTCAGTTTCCCCATTTGCCACGTGCATGTGCCTTGTACCTTGTCAGACATGTAGCAGGTGCTCAGTAAATGGTTTCTGGGTCAGTGATTATAAATTCCATGTCAGTCCTGAGACGAGATACTGAAAGGCCCTTTCTGCACGGTTGGTTTGGTAAGTTTCGCGGGAGTGTCTTTTTCCTGGTGTACTTGATGATTTTGTTTTGTAGCTTCGTTATCATATAGGAGATTGACAGCCAAGAAATCAAATTTAGAAGTAAGCAGGCCAAGCTCACTTTCTTTTTTTCTTCGTTTTTGATATTTTATTTATTTACTTTTAGAAAGGAGAAGGGAGGGAGAGAAACATCAATGTGTGGTTGTCTCTCACGTACCCCCTCTTGGGGACCTTGCCTGCAACTCAGGCCTGTGCTGTGACTGGGAATCGAACTGGTAACCCTTTGGTTCACAGGCCAGCACTCAGTCCACTGAGCCACACCAGCCAGGGCAAGCTCACTTTCTTGACTAGTCCAGGAAGGAATCTGAGGTCTTCTGATTCTTCTTTGGTGGGGTGTTGTGGGGGCTCGGATTTCACTCGGGATCCTCAGAGGCCCCTTCCTAGCAGGTGGGAGCAATAATGTGGTTCCAAAGGATGCCACTGAGTTGACGTGGGGACGCAGGGAGAGCTGTGCAGCGGCTGCCGGGGAGCGCGAGTCAGGGAGCCCAGAGAGTGCTGTCGGCTTTTGGACTAGGGTGCACCGCAAACCCGAAGAGCTGACTGTCTTTTCCGCTCCTGCTTTAGCAGTGCACCTGCAGGACTCTGCGCTGAAGGAGCTTAAGGACCAGGCCACACACACGCCAGCCCACGTCCTGCAGCCGAGCCCTGACCCTGCCACTGAGCCCGAGCCTGAGCCTGACACAGGCGGGATGGAGCGTGCTGGAGATGGCACCTCTGGGAGTGAGCCTTCCCAGGACAGCGACAGAGGGGAGGGCTGCATCGAGCTCTGTCACCTCCATCTGTCTAGTTGCCACGAGTGTTTGGAGCTAGAGAACAGCACCATTGAATCCGTCAAGTTTGCATCTGCAGAGAACATTCCAGATCTTCCCTATGACCCCAGTGGCAGTTTGGAGGGTGGTGCTGTTGCCACCTGCCCTGAGAGAGAAGGGAGGAGAGGCAGCATCACAGGGAAGACACCCAACATCCTCATCTATGTGGGCTCTGACTCCCCGGAAGCTCTAGACAGGTTCCAGCGGGTGCGGTCGGTCCTGGCTGACTGCGTGGACCTGGACGGCTACACCCTCTACCTCCTGTCGGGGGAGAGCGCGCGCAGGGACCCGTGGACAGACAACTGCCTGCTGCTGGTCCTCGCTGGCAGGGAGGCTGTTCCTGAAGACCTGCATCGGAAGTTCATGGCCTACCTTTCTCAGGGAGGGAAGGTGTTAGGCTTGTCTTCGTCCTTCACGTTTGCCGGCTTCCAGGTGACCAACAAGGACGCACTGCGGGAGGCGGTCCAGGACTTGGTTTTCTGCAAGGCTGACCAGAGCCAGGTGAAACTCAGCGTCCTGAGCAGTGGCTGTGTTTACGAGGACGGCCTCGGGGAGCAGCCCAGCCTGGGCAAGCTCCGGGGCCACCTGGAGAACGAGGACAAGGACAGGCTGATTGTGCAAGTGCCTTTCGGAGCACGTGGGGGAGAGGCTGTTCTTTGCCAGGTAGGGAGGCGGGTGTCTCTGTCTTGATCTTGGGTACCTCTGAGGGGAATTCGCCCCTACAGCTGTGCATTGGGAGGCCTGAGAGGCTGCACCTGTGGGGTGCTCTGGCCTGCAGGTGGGAGTTTTTGCTGATTTGAGTAGATGGTGTAGATCAGGGCTTTCCTGTTGCGTGAATATCTCGCCTGACCAAAACACCTGTGATGGAGGAATGTGGCAGGCTGCATTATGGCTAATTAAAATTGCTGGTTAACCAAAGATTAGCCCAAAAATTCTTTCTCATTTTGTTGCGTAGTGGTAATAATCTTTCTAAAATACAGTAGTCTGCTCCCTTGCCTCAAAGGCCACTCTGGTTAATACAGTCAAATCTTTGTTGAGTGTAGTGAGTGGAACCCCTGGGGGAGGTGATTCCGGAGGGGGTTTCAGGATTGCGCCCCAACCAGCGTGGCTGCGAACGTTGAAAACGTCTTCAAATCCTTTGTTTCTCTCCTGTGATTTGTCATTCTTGAAATCTGAGTGCTGAGAAAAATTTCAAGTAGAGAATATTGATATGATTTAGATACAGGGCATCTAAATACATAGGTAAGGAAAAAATGGAGAGGGAGAGGAAAGGAAAGGCTGCCATCTGCCCATCCCGGGCAGTCTTGTGGCTCAGCTGCCGGGTTTCCCTTACCGCTTTCCTTTCAGCTGTCTGTCTGTGTAAGCGAATAGTGGTAGGACAGACTGTTTCAGAATTCCCGATCACTTACGGCAAATCTTTTAATGCCTTTGGGCAAAAGTTTTCGTTCGAGTTAGATGAACATTCTTAAGGATTCGGTGAACTAATGAGATAATTAAGGAGATGTAGATATTTTGCCCAGAATAGTTCCCAGGATGAGTGTAACGGACATTGTTTCATTATAGGAATCTGTTTATTAAATTGGAGAACCATTTCATTTTTTCGTAGCTGTTTTCATTTCCTATACTGTCTCTCTTCCCAGCCCTCCTGAGTCTCTGACCAAACATTTTTCAAGGGTAACATTGGTTTCTTTACCATTTCCCCCACTCATCTGTTCCTGAGATAATACTCAGCCACAGATGCACGTAAGTAAGGAGTCTGGACTTCAGGACAGACGGACGTGGACAACCCGACCAGGTTTTCTCTAGGTTGCCGACTACGTGAATTTGTGTTTGGAGGCCTACTAAATGTTTCTCTTCCCCTTTTCTCTGCAAATACAGTAACTGTGGTAAATATGGATTCTCAGAAAATTCACTTCCAAACCCCACTTCGAGGGCTGCATTTCAGTTTTGAGTAGCGAATTTTACCGCCGGCGCATGGACTCGTACGAGAAGGTTGAGCCGCGCTGCTGCGGTCCGTCCCCGAGCCGCACGGCAGGCAGGCGGCTGCCCCGTGCCACTGGGCCCATTGCTGCCATAGAATCTGATACTTTAGGGGGAAAAAAAGGCAGTATGATGCAGCTTCAAAAACCGGATTCGGGGGAGTAGAGTGTCGTTTTTTATTTTAAATGACTCCCGGTCTCTGGGACAGGGTCACTGTTTTCTCCTCAGGCCGGTGTCACCACGCTGCCTCGCCGGCACCACCAGCCCGTGACCGTCTTCCCAGGCTGGTCGGTTTCCTCCGTCCTGTTCAGTTTCATCGCCTTCAGCTTTGCAATAAATCGAGTAATGAGGTGACCCAGTAAGAGGGGGCGAGGCACTTCAAGGGCAGCCACAGCTGCACAGGAGGTGGTTGTCTGGTGGCTTTTGGTCTATCACCACAAAGGAAAAGGGGATTTTGTGGTCCTGACGGTACTGATCAGGTTTGCAGGGAAAATTTAAGATTGTGGATTACAGCTGACATTGGATTAGCAAAGGGGCCAGGAGTTTGGCAAGAAATCCAAGTAAAAATCTCTAAAAGGGGTTAAAAATATATATACAGGGTCGGCAAAAGTAGGTTTACAGTTGTGAGTACTCCAAGCACAGAATTTATTCTTGTGTCATTATTTATTAATTATTGTATTATCTTCCATACAAATGACTGTGAACATACTTTTGTCCCATCCTGTGTATTTTATACATAAGAGGTCTGTCTGGAAAAAGTCCAGCCATTCTCAATATAAGGAGAATAGTTTGCACGATATTGGTGTAACCGGACAGCCAAGGAGAGTGGACTGGAATGTGCGTGTGTGAAGAATGACGACTTCACTGTACTAGTCAGCGGGGGTGGTAGACCCCGTTGAGTGAGCATGTGCACTGTGTGGCCGTCACAGTCAAAGTGATTGTGCGAGTAGAGCAACGAGTTTGCATCAGATTTTGTGTTAAGCTTGAACGTTGCTCTGTGGAAACTATTCAGAAGATGCAGAGGTCCGCAGCTATGGCAACTGGTGATTGGCAGCTTCATCACAGCAAAATGCCTACTCATGCATCACGTCTTGTGCAGAGTTTTTTGGCGGAACATCAAATCACCCAGGTGACTCAGCCCCCCTACAGCTCAGATTTGGTGCTCTGTGGCTTCTGGCTTTTTCCAAAACTCAAATCAGCTTTGAAGGGGAAGAGATTTTATACTGTCAGTGAGATTTAGGAAAATATGAATGGCGATTGGGAGAACTGTGTGAGGTCCCAAGGTGCTTTCTTTGAAGGGGGACTGAGGCATCATTGTCCTGTGTACAATGTTTCTTGTATTTGTGTCTTCAGAAAATGTCTCTATTTTTCATGGCTGGATACCTTCTGGACAGACCTCATCTGTAAATTGGATATTAATTTTATGTATTTAAACTTTAAAATTTTCAAGTACAGTTGACATACAATATTATATTAGTTTCAAGTATACAACATAGTGATCAGACATTTATGTAACTTACTGAGCGATCACCCTGATTAGTCTAGCATCCACCTGACACCATACAAAAGAGTATCTTTGTCTTATTTAACTCAGCACATGGCAGAAGTGGTTCTGCTTTCACGGCAGTTTCCCAACCACGGTGCCGTGGACATTTTGGTCAGATCCTCCTTTGTTGTGGGGTCACCCTGTGCCTTGTCTGGTGTTAGCTGTTTTACCTACTAAGTGCTGGTAGCACCCTGTCCCTCTCACCTTCATTTTAGAAGAAATGGGCCCATCGCTCTAGTGACAGAGTCACAGCCAGAGGAGGGGACACTGGTCGGGTCACACCGAGGACCTCAGTGCCCATCCCTCGCACGCATGCTCTGCCTCTGGGGCTGTGAATGGAAGTGCAGAGCGAGCCATGGCCTCTTCTTGCTTCCACTGTGGAAGCTTCTAATCTGGAGAATGACTGAAGCGCTCCTCAGTCTCAGCGGCTCTCCTTGCCCTTCCCCCACGAAAGCTGGACACCTGCCTGCGGGAGCAACCCTGTCTCTGCATCTCCCACACGGGACAGCGAGTGCCACAACCCTTGCTTGGGTGCTACTTGGCTGTGGTCACAGCCTGGGGAGCACACGTGCTGTTAGCCACGCCCCATCCCTGGAGCCCAGGTCCGGAGAGAGCCTCACTCATTTTATCTGTGCCACCCGTAAGGGGCCGGGGCCGTGGCCGTCTCCGTGTTGCCACCTGCTCGTGCGAGTTCACTGTGACCAGCCACTGTGCTCACTGGCTGCACCAGCCCTGGCTTCGCCCTCCAGGGAGGACAGGACGCGGTTAGACTGAGACTGTGGCCCAGGAGACATAGCACAATTTGAATCCCTCAGAGGACTCCCTCTTCTGCCTGCGCCCACTCTGGGCTGTTCGCAGGGATACACTCTGGGTGAAGCAGGGACCGGCCGTCCTAGGGGTTGGGTGGACACTGCTCTATCAGCCTTGTCAGACTGGCCTCCACTTGCAACAGTGGGACCATTTGGACAGCATCTGGGGACAGTGGTTCTGGTTGGTTAATGCTTGGGTGGGAATTAGAGACTTTCAGTTGCCGGAAGACTGGCTCCAGGCTTCCTGTTTTCATGATGCTCCTAGACTGTCAGCTCAGGTTGGGAGCGCGGACTCCTGGCTAAAGCACCATGAATAATTAGGCAAAGGTGCTCAGGTTGCTGCCCTGGGCACTCAGTACTCCGGCTCCCTCCAGGCTCTGAGGCCCAGTTAGAATATGATCTTGAAGGAGCTACATGTTCTGGTACATACCTCTGCGGCAAGACCCATCCCTTTCATTGATAGGCGGTACTGTTTCAATTTTAACTGCACAAATTAAAGCCTGGACTAAATACATGAAGTTCTTAATCTTAAAACTCAGGCAGGCAAAGGAGGGAGGTGGGGCAGGCCTTTCCAGGGTTCCCCCAAACCCTCTCATCTATTTGAATTTCTGGAAGCACTCTGAAAACGGGGAATGAGACTTTCGTCCTCCTGGAATTGCTTCCTCGTAGTTATGACCAGTAGGTAGAGCAGCATTTCAAGCCCGACCCCAGAGTACCTTCCCAAGTTCTGGAGTGACTTTACATGGGTTCTCAGCACAACCATATTCTAAGTTTCCATATTTGTTCATATAACCAAGTTAAGTGACTTGCCCAAGGTCCTAAGACTGGTTACTGATTAAGTTAGGACCCGGGAAGAATTTGATTACTCTCCTGAGTCGTTTCCAGCACAGCTTCCCAGCCTGACGTCCACAATTTTAATAGGCTCTTCTGCATCTTTTTATGGCTTGGCATTACTTTCTGCATATTCAGGTTATGTTTACACTGTGTTGATCATTCGAAGGATTTATGCTCAAGTTTTCAGAAGCACTGGTAAAGACTGTTTTTGTTAATGTCTCTTAAGTGGCCCCATTGATGAAGTGGTGTTCATTCCCCTCAGGTGCACTTAGAACTACCTCCCACCTCTTCAATCGTGCAAGCCGAAGACTTTAACCTGCTCAAATCTAGCAATGTTCAAAGATACGAAGTCCTCAAGGAGATCCTGACCGCCCTTGGCCTAAGCTGTGACGTCAGACAAGTTCCTGCCTTAACACCCCTTCACTTACTGTCTGCGGCAGAGGTGAGTGAGTGAGAGAGAGAGAGAGAGAGAGAGAGAGAGACTGTGTGTGTGTGTGTGTGTGTGTGTGTGTGTGTGTGTGTGTGTGTGCGCGCGCGCGCGCCAGCAGGGGGCGCCCGGGTGCCCCTCTTCGAAACAGCGTCCTGCACCGACTTGTCCATTGCAATGGGTTCAGCTTTGATTTCCATGTTGAGTTTCTATTTTGACTTCAGAGCAACCTTAAAGGTGTCCAAATGTAACTCATAGTTTTGGCATTTGCATGACAGGGAGAGAGGGGCTATTAGAACTTAGAGAAGGTGTTAAGTGTTAAGGTTCTGGCCCGCCCACTTTACGAGGAAAAGGGTGCTTGTTTTATGTGTCAAGAGTGTGTTTGGAAAGCACAACATTCACACATTTGGGATTGAACACCTTTGTTTTGATTTGGGTCTTTGTCAGCGAATCTTGGCAGGGGAAAGATCAATCACAAGTTTTTGTGCTGACGTCTGCCATCTTGTGGCCAAGGGGGCTCTGGATTTCAGTTCAGATCTTGGTGGTGTCTGAGAGGAACATGGCCATGGAGTTGGCAATGTGTGCAGCAGCTTTCCTGGCCTTGTGTCTGCAGTGACGCCTGCGATTAATACCTGCGCAGGCGGCCGCATTCCCCAGGCGTGTCTTTGTGCTGATCCCTTTGCTTTGCCAAGCTGTCAGTTTCTCACTAATTATGGCAGATTATTTCGTGGGACTCTTTCTGTTGCCTCTGCTAGAGAGGGAAGTTGCTGAGTTTAGTGACATAACCATGCAGATTCAGCAAGTGTCTAATAGTCCAGGTGACTCGAAACAGCAAACTGACCTGCTTTCCCTCGGAAAGAGCACATTAAAACTCCTACCCCAATGTTTTTAAAAGAGGAGGCGCTCTCCTTTTCTTGGCCAACTTGCTGAGCGAGCAGGGCTGAGCCATGAGCCCGCCCTAAGAGTCTGGAGCATTTAGGATTAGTATATTTTACAGGAGTATTTGAGGACTGGATGAAATAATGTATGTTTTGATGTATGAAGTAATGTATGTTATTAAATAATAACAGGTCCATATAAATTTTGTGATTGAAAAGATACTACAATTGTTAATATTAGTATTAGACTGTGGGGAGGTCGAGTGAGTTACAGGTATCCCATGTTTCTGACGAGTGCCTGGTACTGTAGGTAGTGATTCTGAACTTTAAAAATTAACAGTGAAGCAGCAGGTGCTTGTTTTTCCATCTAAAACATTTTTTAAATTGCATTTTCATGACACATCATTTAGCCAGTTTGCCCTCCTTTTACTGGGTGCTCTTGAGAATGAATGACATGACTTTTGTTTGGACTCTCATCCTGGGAAATCAAAGCTGCACATCATTTATCTGTTTAATGCGTTCTGTTCACAGAAGCAAAAGCACCACCTCTGTTCATCTGGGGACTTTTTGCCCCTCTTTACATGTGATGGTTGATCTTGAGCCTGCAGGGAGCAAGCTGGCCCCAGACTTATCCAGTCCACACTTCTATGCCTCCAGTTCTTACGTGTCCAAAGACAGGGAACTACGGACATGCCTTCGTAGGGGGACATCTGGGACTTTTATAAAAAAGTATCAAAATAAAGCTGGTCCTCAGAGCTTCAACTCTTGTAGACGACCCACCTACAGACCTGCCACTAGACCATGTGGGTAAGGGGAGGTGGGACTGTCACTCTCATAGACCTTCCCCCTCCCTTCTGTCCTGAGCATGGAGGGCTGGGGCCGGACAGGTCAGGCTGTGCCTCCCTGCCTTGGAGGAGACTCACGGCCCCGGAGGCCAGGGAACAAGGTAGACCTGGGCTTGCCTTTGACCACGCTCCCTGACCTTTCCTGGGAGTTCTTTTGACTATGCTGGTCTTGGATCTTGCACCTCTTGACCCCTAGACATAGCAATGGAGAAGAAAGGGTGTCCCCAGGTTTCTCTCCTGTGAGCAGACGTTTGGAACTCGAGGCTTTTCCTGTATCTCCTTTAGGATGAGCATCCCCTGAAATACTGAAGGCTTTGAATTGGCATCTGCTTATATTACAGTACACAGCAGGCGCTTCCCCCTTTTGTCCTTCAGGTTCTTTAAACTGCCTGGGGCTGGGGGATACATTTCCCCTCTTAATTGGTAACCCCATGCACTAACCACAAAAATGAAATGACCCCTGTTCTAACTTTGGAAAAGAGTAATTTCAGCAATGTTCACTTATTGTTTCGAGTCTCTGTTCGGTCTGGTTGGTCTTGGATATCTCTGCTGTGGGTGACTTTTCTTGTCCCAACCCCTGCCCCCGGGTTCCATTCCACTTTGGGGGCCTGAGGGGCTGAGTGAGTGTAGGACGGTGTGTCCGTCCTCATTCCTTAGTGTGTGTCAACTCCTCTGAGCAGATCCGGACTCTGTGGTAGAAGGAGATGTAGGAAGTGAGAGCTTTAGACTGTGTTTTCCTGGAATACAAATTCTCTAAGGGATCGTCATGCAGGGGAATGTGAGGGTGGCTCCTTGCCCACTGTGATGGCCTTTGTGGTGGCAGCTGGGTCATTCCTGCTCTTCTCCTGATGCCAAGACAGAGACACTTTGGAGCACCTTGTGGTCATCATGCTGGTGGTTCAGCATGCGTAGCTGTGGATGGCGGATGGGGACCCAAGTACTTTCTGTTTGCTTTGCTTTCCTGCAGCCTTCTTAGTGGATCCTAATGATTCCCATGGAACTAAGTGGTGTGGAGAGGCCCCTGGCATCCTGGCACCCCGTTAGTTTAGACACGGCCCACTCTTAAGTCCATCACCTGCCTTCCGTATTAGATGCCTGCTCTGGCTCTCTGCTTCCTGCAAAATGCTGCGAGCTGTTGGGAATCAAAGATCTCTGACCACACGGTGTCGCTGCTGAGCTAGGCTGCCTGGTGAGCAGACACTGGAACCTTAAAGTAGTTCAGAGATTTATTTTCTCTCGACATCAATTTCACTTAGTATAATTTAGTAGTTTTCCATGGTGCTGGTGGCACTTTCTCCTGGGTTTGTTGAGATTGTTTCACTGTTACAGTTAATAGTATTCACCTTTCATTAAACATCGACTGTGTACTAGGTACCATTACAGGATGGAATATGAAGGAACAGAATATACACACTAGTTACCTAAATACTTTCACTGCATACCAGCTGTGTTTATACAGTTCGGTGCCTAGACACTCGCTCTTTATAGCAAATAGCACAGGAGATTTATGAGGTACCTCTGCGCTTCCATATTCCTGTGACATGAACGCAAATGACTAGCATGGTGATCCAAGTAGAAAAGGCACCCCAAGTGCAGTGACCCTCGGTGTTTTCTGGGGGTGTGTTCTGAGGCCTCTACCAACACCCAGATGCCCCAGTAATATGTGATTTCCGCTGTCAAACCCAGTCACTGTGATTTCATAGTGTCAGGGTGCACGACAGGACTAGGAAGCGGGGCTCACGGAGGTGCGGAGTCCTGTTGGCCAAGCCGACTTCCTCTCTGACCCGGCTCTTCCTGTTTCATCGAAACTCCCAGGGGCAGGATTAAAATTCAGGCCTCAGCAAATATATGATATGTCGAAGTATACTAATGCAACACATGAGCTCATGCATACCTCATACCTAAGTCCATAGAAAAAAGACTGGAAGGAAATACAGTGTGAGGGCTTATATACAGTATATTTTTGGGTGGGGGGGGCTAAGGGTGAGTTTAATAAGCTTTTAAAACTTTCTCTGTACTTTCTTAATTTTCTATAATGTACATGTATTTTTATAAAGAGCAAAATTAGTTATTAAAAATGAAAGAACAAATGACTGTATGTCAGTAGACTTTGAAGGTATTCCGTAAGTGGCCAAAACTGGAGTGAGAGGCAAGGAGTCGATGTCAATGTCGACACTGTATTTCATGTTCGCCATCAGTACCAATTAGTTAAAAAGCTTCAGCTTTGTCAGTAAGTGACTTCACGTTGGTGCATGGCCACTAGGCTTACTTGTGGCTCTCACAGCCTCAGCTCTGCTTGGCTTCCATGGGTGGAAGGCCCTCCAGTCCATAATTCGAGTGCCCCACCCCTGCTCGGGTATAGCAGTTTCTTGATGGAAACCCCTCGAACTGTTTCTCAGAGGACCACAAGGCCATGCTGACACCACACGGCCAGTCCTTGCAGGCAAGTGACCTCCTTTCTGGAGATGGAGGTGGAGCACGAGACCCACCAGCTACACCCTGGGCCATGGGGCTCTGTGGAGCCAGATTACAGGGCGGCCACCTGCCCGACCTGCCCTTGGTGGTGGTGGGAAGTTAGCAGGAGCACGACTTCCTGGGGGGGCACATGAGTGTGTGAGCGATTCTTCCTGTGCAGAGTGTCAAGTCCAGTTGAGGAACTCCTGCTCTTGCTCCTTCCATTTTTATTTCTGCCAGGGAAAGGGCACGAGCAGCCGTGGCCAGGGCCCTGCCCCGAGATGGACGTTGGAACCTGAATGCAGGACGGAGCCTCAGCCTCCCTGCGTCCCACAGAGCCACTGCCACCTTGGGTCCCTTGCCATGCCCCGGCCCAGCAGAGGAGAAGGGGGAGGAAGAGGGTGGGACAGTGCACAGCCCGCCTTGCTCCCTTCTCCGGGACACCCCGCTCTGGTCCGGGGGCACGAGGCTCTGCCCGAAACTACAGAATTGGGACTCTCTGGGGGGCGTTCCTCGCAGCTGGTCGCTAACGGTGTGGAGGGGCCGAGAGAGGAGCAGGCAGGATGTTGGCAGCAGTCCTGTCAGACTGGTCCCTTTGCCTTGGGTCAAGGTGTGACCGTAACAAGAAGTGACAACTGGGTTTGTTATTAAAGCAGCTGGCGGAAAATCGCCCTGTTGTGCGTGTGTAACCTGGTAGTGTGGGGCTTGTGGGGCGGATGAGACAGGCTTAATGACAAACTGGTGTCACATTTCAGTTTGATTGAACCCCAGGTTATTTGCTACAACCCTCCATTGAAACAGGTATTGATAACGAGCTTTGATATCTGTACACACACAT